CAGCCAGTGAGCGGGAACCGGTCTCCACATGGGATCCGAACCCTCGGCGGGAGCACCTCCATGCTCCCAAGCGGCGCATTCTCCAGTGCGCCACCCGGCCGGCTGAGCGAGGTGCGGCGCAGCACCTAGGGTTGCGATCCCGTTGCCGGTCCGGTCCGGTGCGGGCGTGACACTGAGAGTTGCGATCTGTTGCCGGACACGAAAAAAAGGCAGAAAGGAAAAAAAAAAAAAAAAAGAATTCTGTTTAAGTGAGTGTGTGAATTTGGGTCCTCCAGGAAGCAAATGCCAAAATGAACTTAGAAGTGCAATAGACTAGGACTGGCCTGTGGCTCACTTGGAGAGTGTGGTGCTGACAACACCAAGTGAAGGGTTAAGATCCCCTTACCGGTCATCTTTAAAAAAAAGATAAAAAAGAAGTGTAAGAGACTTATCAGGAAATTAGAGGGAAAAAAAAGAAAAGAATAAAAAGGGCTGGCCGGTTAGCTGAGTTGGTTAGGTGCAGCCTTCTACCACCAAGGTCTTGAGTTTGGATCCCTGTACCGGCCAGGCAACAAAAAAAAAGTTGGAAACAGACTTATCGAGGGTAACACTTGTGAAAATAAAGTGGTAAGAGAGCAGGAGGAGGTAGGGAAGGCTTCAGACCACAACATAGGTCTTACACCTGTGGAAAGCAAGGGGGAAGAGAAGATGCTGGGGTAGGAGGATCCTTAGGCTGCAGTGCCACTCTGAGAAAATTTACTGAGCCCAACCCTGTGGGGACTCTGGAAAACAGCCAGCTTATAGAGTTCTGTGCTGGGCAGGAATGGCCAGCCCAGTACCTCTGCTGCGTTGTCTGTCATTGGCTGGAGTGGCCTGGGAGGGCTTGTCCTCGTCTCGAGTGCTTTGCACACATTTATTCATTCAGTCCACACCATAGCCCTGTGAGATAGGTCTTGCCATTATTTCCACATTTACAGATGAGGAAACTAAGTCACCAAGAGAGCCAGTGACTTGCCCAGGGTCACAAGCCAGGGAGTAGTAGAGTCAGAATTCAAATGCAAGGATGCATTTGGGAACCTCTGCACTAGACATGGGGCAATGTGGTTTGCAGAGAAAATGGGGAGAAAGAGAACATTCTGACCCAGGTTTGGGCACCTGAGCTCCTCCGTGGCCTGGAGAGAGGCTCCCATCAGCTCCCAAAAGAGAATATGGAAGCCCTGCCTGAGACCAAATAAGGAGATGTTACAAAAGGGGCCTCAGAGCTGAGTCCAGGTTTGAGTCACGTCTTAGCGATGCGGCCACACAGCTTCTGACTCAGAGCATGGAGGTTCTTGAACTCAATGGCAGGAATAAGAATCACAAATCAGATGGAAGGAGACTTACAAACATAGCTCCGTTGTTGATACTGTTCGAGTGAGGCCCAGGGGTTTCCCTTCTGTACGACGAGGCTCTGGGTGCAATATTATTATTATTATTATTAATTATTATTATTTTTGAGGAGCTTAGAGGTGAGAAGGAGGGTGGGACCATCCCCCTACATCTGGTTTGACCACTGCAGCTGTAAAGCTGAGGCCAGAGAAGGGCTGTGACAGCTGTGGACAGCAGCCATCGGGAGGGCTGGAGTTGGCTGGGTTGTCTAGACTCACAAGAGAGGCCCCCTCCTGCCGCACTCCGCAGGCTATGCCCAGTCTGCTTGGTCCCTGGGTGTGTCGAGAGGCCCCGGTTATGCTGGGGAGGCATCAGCTTCCTGACTCATACTCAGAAGGGAGTGTCTTAGGGAATTTCTTTCCACCCAAGCAGCCAGACCAAAAATGCAAATCATGTCAAGACATAAGTGCTCTCTAACATGTATTCTGTGGTGTGGACTTGAATATAGATCAAAAAGCACAATAGGGAATAATTAGAGCTGTCACCTTAGCACTTTTTATATAACTTCTGTTAGGGTGATTATCATCTGGTGCTGCAAATATTTATGTGTCTGATTCCCCTCCAGCCTGTTAGTTCCTGAAATGGAGAGACTGTGTCTTTCTTATTTACCTTTGTGAGCCTGGCATAGTACCTGGCACCCACTGGGTATTTTATTGAATAAAAGATCATAGGCACAAAGCTGTCCCAAGGCAATACTTGTTGGCACCGTCGATGTCAGTACCATTGATATAGGGTGGAGAAAATGCCTGTCTCCTGCTAAAGGGGTCCCTGAATTGAGAGTTTTGAGGAGCCCAGATATTAAATATTAAATATTTAAATTTATTAAATATTATATTAATATTTATTTAATATTTAATATTAAAATATCCACCAGGATTGTTCCACATGTCCGTGTTTAGAATGGAGTGGAATGCACCGCACCAGATTCCTCCCCCAGGGTGGGGCACGTGTATCTACTCTAGGAGAAAGGTAAGAATGTTCCTGAACAAAAAATGTCCCTGCAAGTATTTCCTGTTGTCTCCTTCCTTTCTGTCACTCTCTGGGGCTGGGCTGGTACATCCCTAAAGGGTGGCTGCTGTGGAGGGGCGAGGAGCTGGGGAAATCTTCAGGGAGTCTGCTGGGCCCAGACTGGCCATCAACACACAGCCCAACTTCTCCACTCCCTGGATATTGCTGGGGGCGATTCAGGGCCAACTACAAAGTATTAGAAACCATGGAAACCTTGGGAACTCCCCTGGCCTCCTGAGAATTCTATGCTCATGGGGGGTGAGGGGTGCTGGGAGTGAGGTGCTGGGGGTGGTGGTGCGGCAATGTGGGAAGAGGGGTGTCAAAGAAAAAATATTCAATGACACTTGTTGAAGTATGATAAGGAAAACTTACTATGCAATGGGATAGTGCAGTCAGAGAGAGAGATTAGGCTCAACTCTGAACACAGCGTGGCTAGTGGGATTTTAGAGCCAAGGATCAATGGGGGGATCAGTGGATGGAAATTTACCAAGAGGAAACATTAGAAGTAAACAGGATTCTGGCTAAACTGATGTAACAATTGCTGCTGAACATAGGCCAGGGTGATCAGATGTCACCTGGGGGATGGTGGAGGATGAGGAACCCCATTAGATACTGAGGGGCACCCGTTAACCAGGATGCGGGTTCTTGCTAAACTGACTTAGAGTTCTTTGCTAAAAGTGGATTTTATAAAGAAGTGCACAGATAGGCCTTGGAGAAGGTTCAGGAGCCTGACTACAGTTTGGTCAAGCAAAGAGTTTTTGTCGTTAACCAGGATGCGGGTTCTTGCTAAACTGACTTAGAGTTCTTTGCTAAAAGTGGATTTTATAAAGAAGTGCATAGATAGGCCTTGGAGAAGGTTCAGGAGCCTGACTACAGTTTGGTCAAGCAAAGAGTTTTTGTCACAGGCTCGAGGAGGCCAAAGGAGGCAGAAGGAGCAGAGGGGCCAGAAGATGTAGGTCCTTGTAAAGGCAATGGGGGATGAATGAAGGGTAAGGAGGTGAGTGTGGTGGTCAGGCTGGGTGGGGAAGGCGAGGGATCTGAGCAGTCTGGTGGAGACCCTGGACCCCATCATAGGTGTGCCAGGGCAATGAGGGTTCGTTCCTGGAAGTAGACCTCTGGCCGGAATGGCAAACTCCCTGTCTCCTCAGAGGCAGACCCTGATGCAGAAGAACTTGGCTTTTTGAGAAGACCATGATTCTCATGGTTTCTCCCAGTCATTCTTTACTCACAATGAAACACGGCCAGCATACTTACCCTGCACCCAGAGGCTGGCAGGCTCTCACTGGGGAGAAACTCTCCCTTTTGTGGAGCTGGGATGATTTCTTTGAGTCTTGGATAGTTTTAAAGATTGCCAGGGGCCGCCCCGTGGCTCACTCGGGAGAGTGCGGTGCTGATAACACCAAGGCCCCGGGTTCGGATCCCATATACAGATGTCCGGTACGCTCACTGGCTGAGCGTGGTGCTGACAACACCAAGTCAAGGGTTAAGATCCCCTTACCGGTCATCTTAAAAAAAATAAAAATAAAAAATAAAAAATAAAAAAATAAAGATTGCCAGGATTGGCACAGAAGCAGGCAAGGCATCATGCCTGGGGTCCTAGGCAAGGTACCAAGGGCAGTATCCCCCACCCAAAAGCAGGCAAGAGAGCAGGCCAAAAACACCACTTTTACACAGGCGGCCCACCGTGGCTACCACCACAACCATGGCTGCCATAAAAGTGGCTCAAGGCGACAGCAGCAGCCACAGCACCATGCAAGTGACCTGCCAGACACTCAACTACATTGACACAAGGACAGTAACCAGCAGAGATAGGAAAAAGAAAAGGACATCTCTCTCCTCAAAGCCCACTCCAGAATAACAGAAGAAGCCACTGCTCTACCACATGACCAGACATCAATGTAGAGATATTAGAAATACAAAAACCCAAGAAAATATGACACCACCAAAAGAATACAGTAATTTTCAAATACCAGAACCTATAGAACAGGAAACTCTTGAAATGACTGAAAAGGAAACTCACTGAAATATAAGAAGACTCAGTTAGACAACATAATGAAATGAGAAAAAAAAATACAGGATATAAAGGAGGAAATTTACAAAGAGATTAATACCTTAAAAAAGAATTTTTCATGGAAGTGAAAAATTCACTTAACAAAATAAGAAACACAACTGAGAGCTTAAGCAGCAGGCTAGAGCAAGCAGATGAAATGATTTCTGATCTTGAAGATAGTCTTTTTGAGATAACCCAGGCAGACAAAAAAAAAAAAGGAAAAAAGAATTTTAAAAAGTGAAGAAAATCTAAGAGAAGTAGCAGACAACCTTAAGTGCACAAACATTAGAATCATGGGTGTTCCAGAAAGGGAGGAGAAAGGAAAACACATGAAAAACCTATTCAACAAAATAATGACACAAAACTTCCCAGGTACAGGGAGAGACATGGCCTTCAGATCCAGGAGGTTCAAAGATCCCCAAACAGATCCAACCCAAAAAGATCCTCTCCAAGACACATTATAGTCAAACTGGCAAAGTTCAAAGATAAAGAAGAATCTTTTTTTTTTTTTAAGGGAAATATTTAATATTAGAATATAGTCAATTACATACATAGGGGGGGAATAAATGTTTTAAGTAGGTAAAGAAAGTATCATTTTGGGGTCAAACATGGGCTAAGAAAGTCAGAGTTCATTTGTTCCAAAACCATTCACTATCTTTTCTGTTTCTATTATGGTGATGTGAAAGAAGAATCTTAAAAGAAGCAAGATAGAAGTGTAGAAGTGTCAAGTCACCTATAAGGGAATTCCTATCAGACTAACACCAGACTTCTCAACAGAAACTCTTCAGGCCAGAAGAAAATGGGATGATATATTCAAAATACTAAAAGAAAAAAACTGCCAGCCAAGAATACTATACCCAGCAAGGCTATCTTTCAGAAATGAGGGAAAAATAGTGCATTTTCCAGACAAACAAAAGCTGCGGGAGTTCACCACCAGATGACCAGCCCTAGAAGAAATCTTCAAGGAAGTCCTGTGTCTGGAATCTGAAAAATTATAATCAGTACCATGAGTAAAGAATAAAACCCACTGGTAGGACAGAAATGCAAATGAGAAAGAGAAAGAAACTAAATCTTACCACCACAAAAAGTCATAGTGACAATGTAGTGATGCCCCTACTTTATTTCTGATTTTAGTAATTTTGGTTTTTTCTCTTTTTTTCTTGGTCAGTCTAGATAAAGGTTTGCAATTTTGTTGATCTCTTTAAAGAATCAACTTTTGGTTTTGTTGATTTTTGCTATTGCTTTTTAATTCCCTATTTCATATATTTCTGTTGTAATCTGTATTATTTCCTACTTATATTTGCTTTCAGTTTAGTTTGCTCTTCTTTTTCTATTTCTTAAGGTAGAAGTTTACATTGCTGATTTGAGATTTTTCTTATTTTTATTATCGGTGTTTACAAGTATAAATTTTCCTCTAAGCACTGCAAGAGCCCTGCATCCTATAAATTTTGATATGTTTCGCTTTGATTTTCGTCTCAAAGTTCTCTCTAATTTCCCTGTGATTTTTCCTTTTACCCATTGTTTATTTAAATGATTGTTTAGTTTCCACAGATTTCTGAGTTTTCTAAACTTCCTTCTGTTACTGTGGTCAGAGAACTCCCTGTGATTTTTCCTTTTACCCATTGTTTATTTAAATGATTGTTGTTTAGTTTCCACAGATTTCTGAGTTTTCTAAACTTCCTTCTGTTACTGTGGTCAGAGAACATATTTTCTATGACCTTAGTCTTTTTTTTTTTTTTTTTTAAAGATGACCGGTAAGGGGATCTTAACCCTCGACTTGGTGTTGTCAGCACCACGCTCAGCCAGTGAGC